TAGTATCCATTGTATAGCTACCTTATACCTGTTGCCCAGTTCAGAGAAGTAGTTAACGAATACCTGGTAATGTTTAGATTTGAGTGCCTGAAGCAACGCTCTTGCATGTGTCAGGAATACTAAGGGTTATGAGATATGACATATTATTAGCAGTTTCTCTGCTGCTATTTTGATGGTTTGAACGTCTGCATCATAGTTGTGAAAGTGCTTTCCTGTTGGTATTTTGATTGTTTATCTGGTATTCTTCTTCTTCTTTGCGTTCATCAGCTGTAAATTCCGGGGGAAAGTTCTGGTTGTTCGTCCACTTCTGGACTGCAGTCCTGTTCCAGAACCTGGGTTTTACGTGTGCATCCGTTTGACATATCTGACTCACTTGTGTGCAGACTGCTGGTTCATTGCCTCTCAGGCAAATGCACTCCGACTTCGAAGGAAGCTCCCAATTAGTCGACTCTTACGACATGCTTTTGGGTAGGCAGTGGGTCTTCTCGTGTTTTCCCTATAATAGGGCCCCGGAACCCACACGGGGATTATCTGGTATTATTTGAATGCTCAATGTACACTCCGGCTCCTCCATTTCAGCTTCCGTTTTGTGCCGATCCATCCGTGTAGACACGAACCCAAAGATCCTGTGGGTGCTCATCATCATATAGTCTGAGGATTGGTGTTTCAAGCTTCACACTGTTTTGTTCTTCCTTGTCGAAGACTCCTTTCACTTCTTTCTGGATGTGAATTGGCAACGAATAATCTTTCTCCAGGGGATCTAACTGGAATAGCATTTAACGGCTATCACCTGCAGGAGGACCAGTGGTTTGACTGCAGAGTTGTTGTGCTATGTTGATGCTGACAAACCATAGCTGACAAACCATGTATCAGCCCATGCAGCCATAGCATCTATGCATTTTTGTAGCAGTCTTTTGGCAAGTGCTGTATATTTATTTGTGCGCCACAGATTTTGACAACGGTATCGATAGTCGGCCTTTCAAAAGACATTGACAAACTGCAGAGCGTTATATTGCTCTGTGAAATATGTACTATTTGTCATTAGTACATGTATTATTTAATGGTTCGTTCAGCATCTTATGAACGCACCATCAAGCTATTTTCTCAAAAACTGCCTTTTAGATCGCAACGATTTCTTGCATGTAGCCTTAGAATATCCATGACGTTGAGGAAATATTTTTTTTTAACTAAAGAAGAATGTCATATGTAGTTTTTTGTTTTGTTGTTTGTTGAGAGTGTATATTTTAATCACGAAACTATCATGCTAGACTTTTTGAAGGTTTTTTTTTTTCCATTAGTTTCAGGAAGTAATGCCAACTATAACAGCTAACAATTTAGAACTTTTTTTTTTTTTTTTTTCTGTTTCGAAGCTTTGAAAACAATTAAGATTTCAAATAATGAGGACACAAACAACACATTGCACAATTTATTGCCAGGCATATTTGTTAAGAAGATTTACAGAAGACATATTGGCAGCAAACATTTAAACTCTCAAGTCAACTCTACTACTGAATTGGGTCCCCATAGGATTCATGAAACGTTGTTGCACCCCACCCATCCTTACCCCGAACGAAATTACAGTATCCAAACTACGAGCATATCATGGGACGGCATCTACTTAATTCCGGTCACGTAATTGACACAAACAGTACTTTCCGTGTGGTATATCACACTCCGAACAGACGACTGTTCAGGCTGGTCAAAGTAATAACAATCAAAATCAACAACCCCCTCCTTTGTAAGCAGGTGGAATTTATAGAAATTTGGAGTTACCCTGGTAATTCGTGTGACTATGGTGAGCTTGTCGGCTCTGTGGCTAAGTCGATGCGAACGCTTCGCTTCGTAATGCCGGGATGCCGGGATCGATCCCAGCTGCGGGCAATGCGCCTTGCGTTGGTTTCGACAGTGGTATCAAGAAAGCCGACCGTCCAGAAAGCAATGGCAAACTACTGGACGTAAATTTGCCTAGAGAAACCACACAACAGCCAGGGGCTGTTAGGGTTGGTTCTGCAACGTCCTGTAAAGGATACGCAACAACCTTTTTAATGGTGAGCTTCCGGAAGCCAAAACACACACGATGTGTCGAGGGAAACTGTTCGCATTTCAGTTGGATTTATTCAGTTGTGTGCTTCATTTTATGTTGATGTAACTCTGTACTAACGCACCTGACGAGATACAGCGAAATATGCCTGGCAGAAAATTATGCAATGTGTTGTTTGTGTCCGCATTATTTCAAAATAATTTATTTTGCCAGCGAGGAAGAAGCCAAACTGGCCTGTGGTAACTGGTTTAGCATGAAGCTTATGCTGTTCTTTTACTGAGATCTATTCAAGGTAAAGCAGAGATAACAGAAATGATTACATTTAGGAGGTGGCTACAGTGGAAAGGAATAAACACTCTACTAAATTTCAGCTTTTAAGGTCATTTCTTTCACAGTCATTGTAAGAGCTTAAGAACCAACCCACGTATGTTTAGCACACTTAGTAGTAGGCTGCCTGTGTGCATTGGCATAATGTATGTAATGTATGCATTTATGTACTTAATTCCTCGACAGGTCGTAATGTGGCACTGAGGGAGAACACAACCCAGAGTTCTAATCTCTCTCACGCGTCTGGAGGCACCACTATCTTTTTCACGTCAGACCTAGCTGTGGACGGCAATAGAGAAGCAATATTTTTTGACGGCAAGACATGCACGCACACTGACTTATTACAAACAACGCCCCAACTCACGTGGAGTCTGACACTGTCAAAGCCACGTCGGGTCAATAGATATCTAATTTTCAGCCGAGGTGGTGGTAAGTACATAGACTACGTTAGCTCTGAAATATGATTGGAGGGGGAGGGGGGTCAATAAGCTCCCCAAACAATTTTTTAGATGGGTTAAGTGCCCCCCCCCCTACCTCACCCCTCCCCTTTCCATAATATTTGGTAAGCGGGCTAATAACTAACAAATTGCAGACATTCATTAACTGGTGCCTGCGCAGAATAGAGGGAATTAAATGGTATGATAGAATAACTAATGTAGAGCTTTGGAAGAGACCTAAGCAGACTCCAGTGGACCAAGAGGTGAGGAAAAGACGCTGGCGTTGGATAGGACACACACTGAAAAAACAGGAGAACAGCATAACTACAATGTCTTTGCATTAAGATCCACACGGGGCATAGGAATAAAAAAGAAGGCCAAAAAAAAAAAAAAAACATGGAGAAGAGAGCTGGAGAAGAAGTTAGAAAGAGGGGGAGGACATGGGGAGAGCTCCATGCAATGGCGAAGGACAGAACGACTTGGGGTGAGTTGGTTGAGGGCCTATGCTCCACTAGGGAATACAGAGGCAGAAGAAGAAATGGGCTAAGTGGTCCGCTGTTAACCATGTATGTCAGTTGTCTGTAAAGGTATTATTTGATGTATTTCATTTCACTACATCCCCTTGTGGGTTCCGGGCCCTGTTTTAGGGAAAAACAAGAACAGGGACTCTGCCTACCCAAAAGCATGTCGTAATAGTCCGACTAACTGGGAGATGCCTTTAAAGTTGGAGTGCATCCGCCTGAGAGGTAAGAAACCAGCAGTCTACATATAAGTAAGTCAGATCTGTAAAAGGAATGCACACGCAACACTCAGGTCTGGAACATGACTGCAGTCCCTAAGTGGATGAACAACCAGAACTTTCCGCCATCGATTATAGTTGGTAAATACGAAGAAGAAGAAGAAAAAGAAGAAAAAGAAGAAGAAGAAGAAGAAGAAGAAGAAGAAGAAGAAGAAGAAGAAGAAGAAGAAGAAGAAGAAGAAGAAGAAGAAGAAGAAGAAGAAGAAGAAGAAGAAGAAGCAGAAGAAGAAGAAGAAGAAGAAGAAGAAGTAGAAGAAGAAGAAGGAGAAGAAGAAATTACTACGTTCATATTGTTGTATGTGTTTTTATCTGTCGGTAAGTACTACTATTATTATGCATTAAAACAACATTTAGGTCCACATTTTGCTGTACCTTTTTCTTTCGTTCGCCTAATTTATTTTGGGCCTCTTCGAGGCAGAGAGCCAGGCACTGCTCCTGCCTGAGAGTCCATCACAGGACGAGCACCATATCGTTTTGCTGATTTAGAAATATTTCCATGGCGTGTGTGCGTGGCATCCTGATTGCTGTGATGCGCCTCCTGGCTGGTTGCCCCCGACTTTAGCACCTTGTTTTGCAAGGGTACACTGTGGTCATACTCGAGGAGAGTAGGCTCATCCCTTCGTTTTTCGCCTTTACCTCGTTTGTTGTCCCATCCAGTATTCCGTTGGGGGTTGAAACCCCAACCTTCAACTGGATTGCTGAGAAGAACAGGGTCCACCACGTGAAGGTGAGGCTGGCTATAGCAAGAGAGGCTAATAGACATTTCGAGTCTTGTATTGCGCATCATTGCTCCATTTGGACCTGTTTGTTGTACTAATTCGTTAGGCTTGTGTGGAGAGCAGTAGGGGAGACGTGGTTTGTTTGATCAACATCCTCTTTCCCATACTCATACCTCACGAACGGTTGTCCTTGTGTCCGGTCACTCTGGTTTCTCCCCTAAAACGTAGGCACGTCTTTTAGCCTCTCATTCTCTAGGACACCTCTGATGCATCAGTAGAGTACACAGGCAGCGTCTGTGGTTTGGGCGTATCGTAAAGCTGGGGTTGCTGGTCCAGATGCAGCTGCAGACGATTTGGCAGCAGACTGTCTTGTGTTGGTTTCGACAGTGGTATCGAGAGCTCACTATTGAGTGAGCTGTGGCAAACTATTAAATATAAAATGTGCCGACCACAACCGCCAAAAACTGCTACATCCCTTAAAGGATACGCAACAAAATATTGTAGTGATCACTGGCTTCTTCAAAGTGTCCTTATTAAACAAAATGTTTAGGACCATTTTTAGTGTTACCTGGAAATTGGATGTATGGTGCTGGATATATATATATATATATATATATTATTTTAAATATGACAGTTGGTTAGTCGACAGATTATCCTCATCGCACGTCAAACCATTCAATCCATTCGTTCTCCGATCTCTTCCTTCGTAAAACCTGCAGCGAGTAGGGGCTCACGACACCAGTTCAGTGGTGGTTTTTTAATTTTTTTTTCGGCTTCCTGCCAAGGCGGTTTGTCTGGCAACACTAATTTTTTCATGTTGTATTTTACAGTATGGTCATCGTTGCTGATTTACAGTCATCACTTGGTTCTCGCAAACGTCCTACTTCTCGTAGAGAATTCATAATGTCAGCATGGTACTTGACTCGTTCGCCTTCCACAGTAACTTTACCTGCAGGCCGATCAGCTTGCTAATTTCCTTGCACGCCTGCTCCCCCTTGCACAAAAATGAAACTGATGTGTGTCAGACAAGACCGCTTTAGAGGCTCTAGCTACTATCCTCTGATCCAGCCCTTCTCTATCTTTCTGCATGATCTGTGAATCCCTGAAAAGGCTTCAATGGGGAAAAGTCTATGTCTCCAGCCATTTTATTGCATTGGTCACTGTTATGACCTCCTTAGTCAGACAACTTGTGGTCACGGCAACAGGACCAAAATCTTGCTTCACAGTTTTATCTCCATCCTCAGCCAAAAAAGCCACAGAGCTTCTCACATGGCGAATTACAGACCCATCTGTGTAAATTACAACATGCCGCTGTAGAGAATTCTAGAAACTGTTATATACAAATCAATACACAGTGGGTGATGCATTCAACATTACGCTAGTGCCTTTGCCTCAACAGATTTATCTAGAATCCATTTTAGACTGTGTCGATCTGGGATAAAAGTCTGTTTTTTTTATTTTTCAAAAACCTCGAGATCAACAAGCGATGGTGCAAGGAATTAAACATTATCTTTCCACCAATTAGGTCGGCTACAGTACCTTACAGACATTGGCTAGAGAGTGACAATCCTCTATAGCTACCTAAATTGCACTGATTTGTTCAAATAATTTAGAATTAATGTACTTATGTCACTCACATGCCACACTCTGTCATTATGGAAAGAATTTGTCAATGTGGGATAGGTTCACCCATGACTCGGTGAGATGTTCATGTGATATATATATATATATATATATATATATATATATATATATATATATATATATATATATATATATATATATACTAGCTGTACCCGTTGCTGTGGCATAGTTTGGCTAAATGGAAATGAAAGAAAATAGAAATCGCACGTGTCTAATACAATCATTGTCTGCTCAGATATAGAGATAGTCTTTGATCTCCACCCCACCGCCCCTCACACTCCACAACTAAATCCACCTACTACCCCCTCTCTCATCAAAGGTTTTTGGAAAAGAAAGACAATGGAAATCGCACCTGTCTAATATAGTTAATGTCGCAATCATTCTCTGAACATTTATATAGAGATAGTCTGGTTTTCTAACTTTAGAACACGCACTATATAATTGTGTCTTTATATTAGTGGTCGTCTGAATGGTGCTATTAGCACGGTAACAAAAGTGGTTATTTGGTTTTCACATGCTAAAGCTGTTTGTATTTGTATAGGAGACGGAAGTAAAGCTACAACTGTACTTGTAAATAACAAAGTAAGTCGTAAAAATAGAAAAGCGGAGGTAGCGTTAGTAAAATATAAACAAATTAGGTAATGAGAACTTGAAAATCACGTGTAAAGCTCTTTAAGTTCTCTTAAATTTAAGTCATTACCCCCCTCCCCTCCCCTCTTCCACCGACTACTGCTCTCTCCCTCTTCGAAATATTTGAAAATCATTACCTGGCGATATTTTGTTGTTGCTGTAACTGACATTGTCATCACTGTCCATCTGGACTAAAATGGGGAGCAGGAATTGTAATAGGTAGTGAATGGGGCTAGTGTAATATTTACCACATCATCCTTCAAGTACCAGTACAACTACTAAAATAATGTCACTGCTATCTGTGTTACCATCGGAGTAGACAGAGAGTCGTGAGCCAGAAGATTTGGTTCCGCATGGCTAGTGTTGTCGCCACAGAGTGGTCAGGTTAGGATGTATAATTTCACTTGCCGACAGAAGAACGCCATAACCTTACCGGCGGTCTTCACATGAGAGCACTATGGTGTAACAGCCCAACCACAACTATTACTGCTGCTGCTACTTTAAGTGGGTAAAGCAGTTACTGTGACTTAAAGCTCTCTCAGTAAATAGTTCCCCCCCCCCCCCAAATTCACCGACAACTCTTTCTCTCATTAAAGTAGTTGGGAGGAAAAAAAAAACACTTGAAAAGCAAATGAACACAGGAAAAAAACACCATAATTAGGAAATGAACGCCATGGTAAACAGCACAGCTTAAAATTCCAACGCAGATGAAATAACTAAATCTAAATGAAAAAAAATGAAAATCTATAAAATTTTAACGTAACCATGCAATCGGAAAGTTTAAAAATGCAAATCATAAAGTGTGCGAAATGGTCAAATTTAATTATCCAATAGTTTACCCATTTACTTGTCTTTTTTTTTTTTTTTTTTTTTTCTAATATTAAGGCAACATGGATAGTGCTG